AACGTTTAAAGATTCTCCTTGTCTTTCCTAATCTGCTACATAGAGCTGCTTGTAGCTGTACTCCATCAGTGAGGTTAACTCCCCTACCAGGAGCCTAGCTTCCAGACCACCTCCTCAATCACGGCTTCACCTTCAGCAGAGCATTTACCTCAACATTCTATTAAAAAGGACCAAAAACATTTAATTCATATTATAAAATAGTTATATACACTAAGCATCCATCCCCATAGCATTTAGATCCTTTTTCAGCCCAAATAGAATTCCAGCACTGGGTGCAATGAGCAGACATAAACAGGTGTGGCGCCATCTGCTGGCAGAACCACAAAATTACCGGAAAGCCAGAAGGTGACAGCTGATACAGCCACTTAAAGGAATAGTACACCCAAAACATCATTAGCCTTCATTTTCTACTCACCCCCATGCTGAACAACACTCTGGAGTACTTTTTTGATATCTCAAATGCATCTGGAGATCTGGGAGGCTTCTTGCTGTCTGCTGACATTCAAATAATGGAGGTGCCCAGCGCCCGAGACAGAAAGGTCCATAAAAGTCCACAAAAAACGTTTCAATATTCCTCCATACTGCTCGTCCAATGTATTCCAAGTTTCCTGAGTGGGTAGCATCCAGAATTTACTCGAAACGAAGTCATTTAGAATGTTTTTAGAGCATAAACAGTAGTGTATATGATTTCCTGAAAGCGCGCACATGCGCGATCACGACGCTACGGAAGCCGGCAGACCAAACCAGCGCATTCAGCTCGGCAAAGAACTCATGCTCTTCCTCAACACTGAAGTCCTCAGACATTTTTCTTTTGTTTCTTTCTTTGCACAGGTAAACAGCACATTTCTTCTTCTAAGCTTGCATTATCGGCAGAGCAGACGCTGAATGCGCACTTTCATCTGGTTTGGTCTGCCGGCTTCCGTAGCGTCGTGATCGCGCATGTGCGCGCTTTCAGGAAATCCTTTACACTACTGTTTATGCTCTAAAAACATTCTAAATGACTTCGTTTCGAGTAAATTCTGGATGCTACCCACTCAGGACACTTGGAATACATTGGACGAGCAGTATGGAGGAATATTGACACGTTTTTTGTGGACTTTTATGGACCTTTCTGTCTCGGTCACCATAGACCTCCATTATTTGAATGTCAGCAGACAGCAAGAAGCCTCCCAGATCTCCAGATGCATTTGAGATATCAAAAAAGTACTCCAGGGTGTTGTTCAGCATGGGGGTGAGTAGAAAATGAAGGCTAATCATGTTTTGGGTGTACTATTCCTTTAATAACAGCCGAACCCGGCCGGGCAGTCCTGCAATGCCTGTAGGTAAAACGACAGCTTGCTTTGGTTGAAGGCTAACCGATAATCTATTTACAGCAGCTCTACGTTCTCGTGAATTTTACAAGGACCCCCTATCAGAACATCAAGGAGGAAGAAATAGAAATGATCCAATTGATATTCAGTTTCTTATATTCTTAGATTATTTTTCCTCACTTCCTGTTACATGTTCATTTCCTGTGAAACAAATTATATGTGATTTTATTCCAACTTACAAATGATAATATTTTAGTCAGCATGTTTAGTGTGATTAGTTGTTGTAAAGCATTTCTTTTTTTTAACATCTGTAAATATTCGTTTAGAAAATTCTCAAAAACCGAGTGTTCTCTCTAGTCTGCTACAGCTCTGAGTGTTTTGCCCTGACGAAGCTGACCAAGAAACAAATTACGTCTTTCGAGCTTTGGTGCTATGGGCGCATGCTCAAAATCAGTTGGATGGAGATGTTACACAATGTGGAGGGGCTACAAAGCATGGGAACAGAAAGACCAACTCTGCTAGACCAGATCCTCAAAAGAAAGTTCCTGTACTTCGGTCATGTCAGCTGGACCTCATCTGGTCTGGACTTGAAAATGATCTTGGCCAAACAGGGACGAGGCCAATGACGCACAACATGGATAGACGAGATAGAAGTGATAGCAGGGGAGAAAGACATGAAGAGGAACATGGCGAAGGCAGAGAAGAAGGAAGAATGGCGCAATGCGAGTATGAGTAAGTAAATATTTGTTTAGCTATATGAAAAGTCGAATAAAAAGTGTATACCATTAGTAATAAGAAATAGTTTGATGAACTTGCCACTAAATTAGCCAGTTAGAAACTGTCACCTGCAGTCTCCAGGCAGGTTTTCTTTAACCAGACGATTAAAGATAATTTAGTTTGATAGGAATCCATTAGGTGGTTCCTTGCTGGTTCTGGTGGCCCAGTGCAGACCTGACATAAACCCAAAAGAACTTGGCTCTGGAAATGAGTCAGGGATTATCATTGCTCTATTTTAAGGTGAAGATGCAGGAGAGTGACAGGGCATCATCCAAACAGCTACAGATCTGATAGCTCCTGGTTTTTAGAGCTACATCTTAATCAGTAAAACAGAAGCATGTTGACAATTGGATGAAACAATTATAAGTTCTTACCTTGACAGCTTTTCCAGTAAAATTATCTAAAACTGAACATTACATTTGATTTCTACTCTTTTGAGTCAACCTGTCAGGTTATATTTTTAGTTTTTTTTAAAGTCAATCAAACATAAAATCACCTCAGTGCTTTCGGAAAACCTGATGATTGGTCCAAAATAAATACACCTGGAGACCTTTAATTTTTTAATAACATGTTGATAAACATTTAATTTGTGCTCCCAGATCTCCTTTTCTGTAACATATAAACACACGATGCTGCAGTGAGGGATGTTTTTCTCCTCTCTAAAAATGGGAAACAAGAGAACATGTCCGCTCTCATTAGGCAGAGGTGTCTCCATCTATATTAAGTTTAATACCAGAAGAGTGAAACAGAACTAGGACCACGATGAGGAAGAGGATAAGGACGTTTCCTTGATGGCTCATAGGAAGGTATGCAGGAAAACAGCTGTTTAGGGGCGAAATGGCAGGTTCCAAAAAGCTGAAAATTGTCCCCCAATAGAATTATCAACATAATCCCAAACATATGACCAAAAATTAAAAGATAAAGAATAAAAGAGTAGATCCAACATACTGGACAACCAAGAGCAGGGCTGTTTTAGATGCAGATCTGCTGCAACAAAGCTCTTTCAAACAGGTGAATTATCTCCTCAGCATCTCATTATGTTCCGCGGAGGCCCGCTAATGCACCAATCATTTGATTAGGGAGCGCTGAAGCAGGTGAACATCAAAAACATGAAGAACACCCTCGAGAACTGACATTAGACACCACTGATCTGCAGCGATTTTCCAAAGAGGACAGCTCAAAGTCCTCTGAAGCAAACGCTGTGAAACGCTGACAGAGAAAGCAGAGTGAGGTCCAGCCGGCCGAAAAGGGCTGGTGATTCAAAGGGGAATATTTATGCCGGGATTTTAATAACCAAACTTAACCAAATAAAACATGGATTTTTAGAATGTTCAATAGGAACCTAAACATGTTTCAGTTTATAAAACATGAATTCACTGAGGGGGTTTTGCTCATCTCTATGAGAGGCATCAGTAGGTGTGGATTTATGGCTGTAGATTTACCGCCCAAACGCTTCAAACTGTTTAATGTGGTGAAGTTGAAAGGATGGGCCGTATGCCGGAGCGTCTGAGTGATCTGTGGCTATAGACTCTGTTTTACCTTGATAGCTACACTTCAGTGCTGTTTCTAGCTAAAATGTTCAAACAGCCACGCTGCTCTCGCTCAGTTTGAGCTTCAACTCTATTGAAAAGGTTTTTACAGTCAGACGCTTCAAGGTCTATAATACTCTACGCCTGAACTACTACAGCAAGAGATGAGACCACTGTTTATGCTTTTGATGTTAACAAGGACACAAAACAAAGAAAGCTAACATTAAAAGTTTTTGAAATTCAGTATCTTTTTGAATATTTATAAACATGATGCTGCTGGCATGTTGGTGTCTCTAAAATGGGTTTTTATCTTTTGTGGAAAATCTAATTGTTTCACGTATACAAACTATTTCAATTTAAATCTTTTTTTCTTTTTTCTTTCGAGCTTTTTTTCGTCATTATACTGTCACAAGTACAGAGCAACAAAATGAACTCTGTATTTAACCCATCCCCTTGGGGAGCAGTGGGCTGCCATTGTGCGGCGCCCAGGGAGCAGAGTGGGGTAAAGGGTCTTGCTCAGGGACCTAGAATAGCAGTTTGTGGGAGTGGGGCTCGAACTCAGAACCTCAGGATTCCAAGCTCTACACCCGAACCACTAGGCCGCAACTCCCCCATAACTATTTTATATATTTTTTTTGAGCTCTTATTTTATAGAGTGTGTATGTTGAGATATAATTAATTGATTTTGCAGCATCAGGCTGAGATTCTTTATTGTATTTGATTTGTTTCTACACTTAATGATATGGAGTTAGAAATTCAATTCCACATTCTCAGTCAATGGGTTATTTTCTCTTATTAAACAGTTATTTGCTGATTTGTTGCATAAATACTTTAGACAGTAGGTCTCTTGAAAGGCACTCAGCCCTGATCAAGAGTTTAATCTTCATTGGTGCAGACAGAGTTTCTGCATAGTGTATCATGAGATGAAGCAATGTTTCAAAATTAAAGGAGCACGTCAGGTAATGCTACAGCTGTGCTGTATAATTGCAGGCCCTCATTAGAAGCATTTTTTAGACCACTCTGACTAATGCTAAGCAGCCTGACTTTTGCATCTGACCAAACGGCGAATGCTGCGATGTTTGACCAACAAAAGACGGACCCTGAGAGAGCAGCTGATAAAAGCAGCACATCTACCAACTCTGTTGAAACTAGACGCAGGTAGCTTAGTGTGATATGAACATGAAATTCAGTACAACAAAAATTCTCCTTAAGGCTCTAATAGGACAAATAACACAGAGACTCAGTTTGTTTAAAAATGGCTGAAATATCCCATCATCATGCAGCCAAGTTCTCCATCGTCCTGCTTATGACCTGATTATCGGACTCAGGTGTGTTCAGGCAGATACACAACTAAAAAAGTGCTTCTCCAGTAGGATCCACTCACCTATTGTCAGCAGGCCCATCAAACTTTTCCACAAGCCTTTACTAATTTCCACTGATCTCTTCTGGCTTGTTGCGGTTCTCAAACTCTGGCAAGCGTCTGGATTGGTTCTGGTCCAGTCTGATGATCTAGTTGTCCAGCTTCTATTGCCTTTTACAGTGAGGGCCTTGGAGAATGTCCGATGGCGTGGTTAAAAACTGATCATTCTACTTTTTTAAAACTCAGTGGACGTCTGTGGATGTTGTTGTTCCTCTAGAAGAGTAAGTCTTCGGTGATCTTCAAGTGTTTTCTTCTGTGCAATAATGGAGAGGAAACAGGTTTCAGGATTTCAGATTATTTTCAGAGGGTTGCCCTGCCCATCCTGTAGAAAGGGAGGAAAAGGGGGAGGAAGAGCGGGAGGATGTGGGTGGGAAGTGAAGGAGAGGAAAGCAAGGATACAGAGGAAGGGAGGAGGGGAAGAAGATTGATAAAAATGTTAAAATATGAAGGTTTGCTTTGAGTTTGAGCTAGATTAGATGATGTTGTGCATTCAGAGTTCAGACACCACAAAATGTTAAACATGGAGAACAGAAACACTGACAAATAAAGCGTGCACCTCTTTTTTGCAAGCATGCATAACTGATAAAAAACTAACAAAAGGACTTTACCAAAGGCATCAGGGGTTCAAGTTTACTAGATTTACTCAATAAATATAAAATATCTATAGCTTATAGAAAAGCTCTCCATAAATACAGATAACATGACCATGTACACTGCAAAAACAATCCAGAAATAAGTAAAAAATGGCTTAAATTAAGTATATTTAGCCTTAATTTGAGCAGGTAAATAAGATGATTTGCCAATGGAATGAGTATTTTCACTCTTAAAATAAGATAGTTAGATAATATTTACTTGAAATAAGACGATAAAATAGTTTTTTCTTATTTTAAAAGGAAATTGTCTTGTTCCATTGGCAAAGTGTCTTACTTACCTCCTCAAATCAAGGAAAAACACACTTATTTTAAGAAAAAATAACTTATTGAGATTTATATTTTTTGCAGTGTAGCGACAGAGGAGGAACAGAAAAAGACCAAAGAGGTAAAGAATTAAAGACACAAAAGAATGAAGAAAGATCTAAAGAAAGCAACAGTTTGTCTAGAAAACTGAGAATCTTGAAATGAACCAGAATGGACGAAAAGGATCTTTAACATTTTAAAAGGGCAGAGATTCAGGAAAATCAGAATGGATGGAGAATTATTTCAGAGACAAATAAGCACAACCAGAAATAAACAAAGAGCCCATGGATATACACAAGACGGGCTTGGTTTCACCTTTAAAAAATACAGATATAAACATTTTTATTTCAGTCTTTGCTCACGTGTATGTAGTTATTGATGTATGGATGGATATTTGACTGATGGACAGATGAATAAATAGGTGTTTGATGGGATGTTTGAGGTAAACAGTTCCTGTTATACTAGTATATAGACTGATGGATGTTTGGATGCGTATAAAATCCAAGAAGATTTAGATAAGTGAAAACATTTATCTAATGGTTTTAAGGACAAAAATATAATATGAGAGAGTGTGTGTGTGTGTGTGTACCTGTCTAGACCTTAGAGTGAGGACCATTTTTCCAATTTAACCATCAAATTGAGGACCAGTTGTTGAAAAGTGAGGACATTTTGCTGGTCCTCACATGCTATTTTGCTAATGGTTAGCTTTAGGGCTAAGGTGTCTATGGGTTAGGGTTAGGCAGAGGTATGCATTGGTAATGGTTAATTGGTAATGGTTAGGTTTAGGGCATAGAAAGGGTTGCAAATGACTGAAAATCAATGGAAGTCAATACATGGTCCTCACTACAATGGTAGAACAAGTATGAGTGTGGGGGGGTCTCTGCGTGTCACAAGGTGCAAATGGCATGTTTAGCGGTGCACTGGTTCTGAATGGCGGAGGAAGTGGGCGCACCCGGCGGTCATTATATTTTCTGTTGACGTGTAATAATAAGCTGTAATGCCATTTCATGGAAGCTGAGCACGTATCACATGTGAAGGCCTGATTCATGAGTTTATTTTAAATCACCCTGTTGAAGCCTGGTTAAAAGTCAAGATCTGAATTTCATTTGTTCATAAAATGCTATTTATTTATTATTACATTTGTCAGATTCAAGTTATTTCAGTGAACATTCTGGGTTTTCCTCTTATTAAACGAGGAATACCAATAATATAGTCTATAGCAGGAACTTTAGGAAACAAAAAAAGCAGCTGAGAGGCTGAGGTGGGGCTGTCTGACGCACTCATTAAAAAAAAAAACTCCTCCCAAATCTAAATGATCCATTCCCCTACAAACAAACTACCAAACCAACAAATAAAAACCATAACAGCTATAAACTCAGACAAACAAACATCACAGCATCTTTTCATTTATGGATCCTACATAGTCTATAGGTGTATTAATTGGTCAGCCTGCGCCAGTGAAAGGTTGGACGGTCTGAAATGGGATAAACTGATCACTGCTGATGCAGAAGTGGCCTGGAGTGTTAGATGGAGCACGCGTCGGACAGATCAGCCCTCCCAGCGTGACCATGGCAGTTTTGCAGCATAATAAAAAAAGAATCTTGCGTTTAAGAGGCGACAAAATCATGCAGCTTCTAGGGTTTACAAAAACATGCAACAGATTCCACATATCGTTTATTAAAAGGTTGTGAAAAACAGACTCCTAGGAGGGGCTAATGGGGGTGAGTTATGTGTATCTGAAACTAAACTATAACAATAAATTATGCTGCTGTTTTTAAAAATGAAATGTTAAGCAAACTTTATTAAATCATGTATGACATACATTAGGAGAAGTTGTTTGATCTATATTTCCAGATTAAAGTTCTATCCAGTTTTCCTTCACGACTGAAAGCAGAGCAGATCTGCAGCCACCAGTTAGATTCACACACTAGATTCACAGCAAACAGACAGGAACTGGCGGTGTTGGTCTCTCCAAAATAAAATTGTAAACATTTCATGAGATTCCAATTAAATTTAAACTGTAATCATTATTAGAATAACTGTATATATAGAGAGTATTTTATATGATTTACATCGTTTGAATATTTTTTATTCATTCTGAAGGTGTGGCTGTGCCCATTGATTAAAGACATGCTGAGGAAACCCTTTGGCGTTTGGATGTCCTTTGTTTCCAGTGTGAACATCTGCTGCAGTGAGAATGTGTCCAAATGGCTAAATATAACTAACATACCAAAAAATAAAAATCAACTTCATAACACTGTGAATATATTAGCCAACAATTATGCTCTCCAGTCCACTCCAAATAATAATGCAGTAATATATTTGCATAAATTGTGCAGCCTTAGCACACAAACCTCCTAAAAATGAAGAGATTGTGTAGAAAAATATATATTTTTTATTATTAAAATGAAGGCAATGATTTATTAATGCTTTCTTTAAATAAAATATGAATGTTGCATTTATTTTAGTTTGATCAGGAACAAGTACATTTGAGGAATCTAGAGCTCCCATAAATTCAGGTTGTAAATCAAATCCCAAAGAAAGAGAATAATGAATCCAGGAAGAGAATAATTTCTGGTTTTATCGGCTTCTTGGTACGTTTTCAGTTACAGTAATTTTCATTGGTTGCAGCTTTCAATCTGTGCTGTGAAGCCCTTTTTTCAGTCAGTGAAATTGGAAAACTTGCTACTTAGAATTACTGAGTGACAAACATGAGGAAGGGTGTTAATTTGACCAAACTTTAACTACAGATACACTATATTGCCAAAAGTATTTGCTCACCTGCCTTGACTCACATATGAGCTTAAGTGACATCCCGTTCCTAATCCATAGGGTTCAATATGACGTCGGTCCACCCTTTGCAGCTAGAACAGCTTCAACTCTTCTGGGAAGGCTGTCCACAAGGTTTAGGAGTGTGTTTATGGGAATTTTGGACCATTCTTCCAGAAGCGCATTTGTGAGGTCGCACACTGATGTTGGACGAGAAGGCCTGGCTCTCAGTCTCCGCTCTAATTCATCCCAAAGGTGTTCTATCGGGTTGAGGTCAGGACTCTGTGCAGGCCAGTCAAGTTCATCCACACCAGACTCTGTCATCCATGTCTTTATGGACCTTGCTTTGTGCACTGGTGCACAGTCATGTTGGAAGAGGAAGGGGCCAGCTCCAAACTGTTCCCACAAAGTTGGGAGCATGGAATTGTCCAAAATGTCTTGGTATGCTGAAGCATTCAGAGTTCCTTTCACTGGAACTAAGGGGCCAAGCCCAGCTCCTGAAAAACAACCCCACACCATAATCCCCCCTCCACCAAACTTTACACTTGGCACAATGCAGTCAGACAAGTACCGTTCTCCTGGCAACCGCCAAACCCAGACCCGTCCATCAGATTGCCAGATGGAGAAGCGCGATTCGTCACTCCAGAGAACGCGTCTCCACTGCTCTAGAGTCCAGTGGCGGCGTGCTTTACACCACCGCATCCGACGCTTTGCATTGCACTTGGTGATGTATGGCTTGGATGCAGCTGCTCGACCATGGAAACCCATTCCATGAAGCTCTCTGCGCACTGTTCTTGAGCTAATCTGAAGGCCACATGAAGTTTGGAGGTCTGTAGTGATTGACTCTGCAGAAAGTTGGCGACCTCTTCGCACTATGCGCTTCAGCATCCGCTGACCCCGCTCCGTCAGTTTACGTGGCCTACCACTTCGTGGCTGAGTTGCTGTCGTTCCCAAACACTTCCATTTTCTTATAATACAGCTGACAGTTGACTGTGGAATATTTAGGAGCGAGGAAATTTCACGACTGGATTTGTTGCACAGGTGGCATCCTATCACAGTTCCACGCTGGAATTCACTGAGCTCCTGAGAGCGACCCATTCTTTCACAAATGTTTGTAAAAACAGTCTGCATGCCTAGGTGCTTGAATTTATACACCTGTGGCCATGGAAGTGATTGGAACACCTGATTCCAATAATTTGGATGGGTGAGCAAATACTTTTGGCAATATAGTGTATTAATCTTCTCATGATTCAATGTAAAATTATGTTATTATTGATTTTAGATTGGGGGGAAATAACAGAAAAATAAACAAAGGGTATTAGAAGTCATGTATTCTGGAAAGCCAACATTCAAGACAGGCATGTTTTAACTAATTCAACTTTCCTTAGTGTCCTGCGACACAGCTATGAGTAAAGGGAGGATAGCAAACCTCCGATAGCCTCTTAGCTTATGTTTGCAAACCGGCAGACAGCTGGTTAGTTGCTAATTGCTAACAGCATGCTAACCAGCTGGTCTTTTTGGGTCTGGTTATGAAAGTAAAATGTTTCCAGCGCGGTGCAGACAGCAGGACGACATGCTGGAGTCTACCAAACAACTG